AGGCAGGCACTAAACCGCTAAGCCACCCAGGGATCCCCTGGCATAGACTTTTTAAGTAAATACTAAATTTTAATAGACAAAACATGCAAATAGTTCAAAATCTAAGAGGTAAGAAAAAAATTGTGTATCAAGACTCAGTCTTCTTGGGGCGCCTGGGTGTCTCAGTGGTTGGGTGTCTGCCTTTGGCTCAGGGTGTGACCCCAGGGTCCTGGGATGGAGTCCCACATCAGGCTCCCTGCAGGGAGCCTGCTTCTCCCTTTGCCTATGTCTCTGTCTCTCTCTGAGTCCCTTCCTATGTCTCTCATGAATAAATAAATAATTTAAAAATCTTAAAAAAAAAAAAAGAATCCGCTGTCCCCCAGCCCTGTCTTTAGCCACACAGTTTCCCTTCCTTGAGTCTGTCTCTATTCAGAGACTTATGTTTTTGACTTTCTAAAAAGTGGGGCAGCCCTGGTGGCTCAGCGGTTTAGTGCCGCCTTCAGCCCAGGGCGTGATCCTGGAGATCCGGGATCAAGTCCCACGATGGGCTCCCTGCGTGGAGCCTGCTTCTCCCTCTGCCTGTGTCTCTGCTTCTCTCTATCTCTCTCTGTGCCTCTCATGAATAAATAAATTAAAAATAAATAAATAAAAAGTGTGCTTATAAAGTATGGAAATTAATTAATAATCACTTAATCACAAAGCGACATTGGATCATTAAGGTAACAAGCATACCATACTAATGTACGATGTTAACAATAGGGGGAACTGAATGTGAGGAATACAATTATCTCCCCCTATTGCATCTCACTATGCATCTTTATGAGCATGGAATCACTGATCATCAGTATCATACTAGGTAACCACTGGATTTGGTAAAAGTAATCTTCACAACGGGGACTTTAATATTTTATCATAGAATTGTGGAAACATAGGATTGGAAATGACTAGAGAATAATCCATTCAACATTCTGAGAAAATTAAATAAACATTTTTAAGAGTTCACGGTTAGGAGAACCAAGATTATAATCTAAGTTTTCTAGCTTTTCTGCTAGTGATTCCTTCAATACAACATAAATACTATAAGTATACATTTTCATGCTTATCACAATCCTCCCATTGTTCTTTGTATTTATAGCCTTTCTGAAGTTTTGGAGATGGTCATAGTTTTGTTTTGCTTAATAAGCTTTATTTTTTTGGAGCAGTTCTGGATTTACAGAAAGATTGAGAAGGTAATGCAGTTTTCATATCCCCCATGCCCAGTTCCCTCTATTATTAACATCTTATATTAGTATAGTATATTTGTTACCTTAATGTAATGATCCAATACAGTTTCATTATTATTAACTAAACTCCATACTTTATTCAGATTTATTTAGTTTTCACCCATTGTCCTTTTCCTATTTTGGGATCTTATCCAGGATATCACATTATATTTAGTTTTCATGTCTCCTTAGGCTACTCTTAATCGTGACAGTTTCTTAGACTTTCTTTGTTTTTGTTATTTCTTTTTTTAAGATTTTATTTATTTATTCATGAGAGACAGAGAGAGAGAGGCCGAGACACAGATGGAGGGAGAAGCAGGCCCCATGCAGGGAGCCCGACTTGGGAGTGGATCTCAGGTCTTCAGGATCACACCCTGGGCTGAAGGTGGCACTAAACTGCTGAGCCACCAGGGCTGCCCTCCTTTTTAAGATTTGATGGGTATCTGGGTGGCTCAGGAGGTTAAGCATCTGCTTTTGGCTCAGGTCATGATCCAAACCACTGGATTTGGTGGGCTTCTCCCTCCACCTCTGCCTGCTGCTCCCCCTGCTTGTGCTCTCTCTGTCAAATAAACAAATAAAAATCTTAAAAAAAAAAGTTTATTTTAAAGTAATCTCTACACCCAATGTAAGGCTCAAACTCACAACCCCAAGATCATAAATCACATGCTTTATTGACTGACCAAGCCAGCCCAACACCCCTAGACTTTCTTTGTTTTTGATGATCTTGATAGTTTTGAGAAGTACTAGTTGGGAATTTTGTAAAATATTCTATTGGTATTTGTTTTTCTTGTGACCATAGGTTTATTTTTTCTAATTTAATTTAATTATTATTTTTAAAATATTTTATTTATTTATTCATGAGAGACGCAGAGACACAGGCAGAGGGACAAGCAGGCTCCCTGCAGGGAGCCCGACATGGGACTCGATCCTGGATCTCCAGGATCACGTCCTGGACTGAAGGCGGTGCTAAACCGCTGAGCCACCCAGACTGCCCTTTTATTTATTTTTAAAAAAGATTATTTATTTATTCATTGGACGGGGAGGGGAGGACAAGAGGGGGAGGAGCAGAGAGTAGGGAGAAGCACACTCCCTGCTGAGCAGGGAGCCAGCCCCTTGAGCTCAATCCCAGGACCCTGGGATCTTGACCTGAGCCAAAGGCAGATGCTTAACCGACTGAGCCACCCAGGCACCCCTAAGTTTTTTTTGTTTTTTTTTTTTAAGTTTTTTTATTTATTTAAGTAATCTCTACACCTCCTATGGGACTTGGACTCACAACCCTGAGATCAAGAGACACATGGGGGCAGCCCGGGTGGCTCAGAGGTTTAGCACCACCTTTAGCCCAGGGCCTGATCCTGGAGACCAGGGATCGAGTCCCTTATCCAGCTCCCTGCATGGAGCCTGCTTCTCCCTCTGCCTGTGTCTCTGCCTCTCTCTCTCTCTCTCTCTCTCCCTGTGTCTCTCATGAATAAAGAAATAAATTAAAGAGAGAGAGAGAGAGAGAGAGAGAGAGAGAGAGAGAGACATGGTCTTCTGACTCCCAAGATCAATAGTTGCATGCTCTTGTGAATGAGCCAATCAGGTGCCCTGATCATAGGTTTATTTTTTATTGAATAGTCCTACTCTTGTCAGCATATATTTGTAAATTCTTTTCACATGACATTATCCATTTTTAATAATTTATGGTGTTATCATAAATATCATTATTTTGTTTTGTTTTTTATTTCTTTTTTAATATTTTATTTATTTATTCATGAGAGACATACAGAGAGAGGAAGAGACACAGGCAGAGGAAGAAGCAGGCTCCCCATGGGGAGCGCAATGTGGGACTCCATCCCCAGACCCTGGGATCATGCCCTGAGCCAAAGGCAGATGCTCAACCACTGAGCCACCCAGGTGTCCTTGTTTTGTTTTTTAAATATTTTTAGTGGCTGGAATCCCTACTCTTTTTTTTAAAATTTTTTTTAATTTTTATTTATTTATGATAGTCACAGAGAGAGAAAGAGAGAGAGGCAGAGACATAGGCAGAGGGAGAAGCAGGCTCCATGCACCGGGAGCCTGACGTGGGACTCGATCCCGAGTCTCCAGGATTGCGCCCTGGGCCAAAGGCAGGCGCCAAACCGCTGCGCCACCCAGGGATCCCTCCATACTCTTTTTTTTTAAAGCTATGAGGCCTTGCACACATTTCTAAACTTCTCTGAGCCCTTGGTTTCCTCCTCTGTAAGTGGTGGTGCTCATGCTCACAGGATTGTCATGAAAAAGGCAAGTAGACTGTTGGGCAGAGGCAACACCTAATAAAAGTTACGTTTAAAGGTTATTCAAAAAAAAAAAAAGGTTATTCAGAGCATAGTTTTTAACCAAGATTGGAAAGAAAATAGGTGGTCAAGAGGCAATTGTAATAGTTAGGGCCTGCTAGCCTAGGAGGAGAAAAAGATAGTTGGTGCCCAGAGCAGGCCCTACCCATGCAACCCCAGTTGAGAATTGACTAGATATGGGTGGGATGAGTTGGGGTCACAGAAGAGACAAAACACCTTCCTTGTTGGGATCCTCTAGGACCAAGAGAAACTTAGTGCAGTAGGCCTGGTTGGCTCAGTCGGAGAGCATGTGACTCTTGATCTCAGGGTCATGAATTTGAGCCCCATGTTGGGTGTAGAGATTACTAAAAGAGATAGAGAGAGAAATATGGCGCTCTTGAGAGCCAGGGAAGAGGGGAAGGCAACCCTGTTGGTGAGGGGACTCCGGAGCTTGGCTATTGATGTGTTTAATTTCAGGTGGTAATGTCTTGTAGAGAATTAGGCTTCTTTTTTTTTTTAAGATTTATTTATTTATTTATTTATTTATTTATTTATTTATTTATTTATTTATGATAGACACAGAGAGATAGAGAGAGAGAGAGGCAGAGACACAGGAGGAGGGAGAAACAGGCTCCAAGCCGCGAACCCGACGCGGGACTCAATCCCGGGACTCCAGGATCACGCCCTGGGCCAAAGGCAGACACCAAACAGCTGAGCCACCCAGGGATCCCCGAGAATTGGGGTTCTGAAGAAAAGTGAAGTCTTAGGGCTTGAAAGTAGACAGGCTCTACTTTACTAATGCTAATGCTGGAGCAACCAACATACAAAAGGACAAGAGAGCATCTCAATGTTCATTCACAACTGTTCCCATGTCAAGAATGTCCACTGAGGCCAGGTGCTACACAAGACCTGTCACCCCTTCTTGTTTACCCTGAATCAACTCTGCAAGCAGCGTAGATATTCTTACCCATACTTTATACATGACAAAACAGATTCTTAGGGTTAGGTAACTTGCTCAAAGACACAGGGCTCGGTGCTCACTGACTAGGAATCAGTCCTGTTGTAGTGAAGTCAAAGCCTTCCCATTGTTCTCCTGGAGTTAGACCAGAAGGCCTCATCCCCCTGATTTAGCAAATGAGAAACCTGAGGGCCCAGAGAGAGAATGTAACTTGCCCAATAGCACTCAGTCAGAAACTAAACTGGGTGGGGTGGGGTGGGGTGGGGGTGCCTTGCTAGCTCAACTGGAGGAGCATAGGACTGGGTGGGGTGGGGTCCTCAATCTTGAGGTCAGGAGGTTAAGCCCCACTTTGGGTATAGCAATTACTAAAAAAAATAAAAATAAAAACACTTAAAAAAGAAAAAGAAAGAAAGAAAGAAAGAAAGAAAGAAAGAAAGAAAGAAAGAAAGAAAGAAAGAAAGAAAGAAAAGAAATTGAACTAGAGCTATAAACCAGGGACCCAGTGTGAAATGTCCCTGAGGGGCACCCAGTATGAAAGGGGCCTGGGGTGGGAAAGAAAAGCCAGTAGAGAAGGCACAAAAAGAAATGAAGGAAGAACTTCTCAGTAGGGTTCACAAGGCCTTGCCTACGATTTTCCACAGAACGTCTCCGCTCTCTCCTTCACACACCCGATACTTCTGCTACCCAGGTTCCTTGCTGCTTTGTACTGCACCTCAAGACCCTGTGCCTCCTGCCCCCACCACGCCTGGAAAACTGCTGGTTGAAAACCCAAGCTTCCTGTGGTCTGTGAGGCCTTCCCACTCAAGCCTCAGACAGGACACTCCCCCAGTACCCCAGGCAGTGCCCCCAATCAGGTGAGCTGTGAGTCTCTCAGCACCTGCCAAGCAGTGATGTCATCTTCTCCTAGCGCCCGCCATGCGATCCCACCAAATGAAGGCCTGTGTTAGAGAAGGAAAAGAAGAGAGACCGGAGGAGCCCTGGATCACATGAAGCGGGGAAGGCCCAAGGACGTGGAGATCAAGCTGACTTTATCTCTCACCCACCCCTTCTCCCTGGTCAGGACTGCAGTGTACAGGATGCGCGCAGAAGGATCCAAGCATTCAGCAGGTAGGACAGGCAGTGGTGAGGCGGAGCACCGAGCATCCGACCACCAGATTTATGTTTGCACGAACATAGATTATACGTAACTGCGTGTTTACAGGTGAGAGATGGTACAGGAGGATTCCTGGAACAAGGGCCTAGCTGAACACTGAAGTAGCAGACATCCAGCTGAGGCCTACAAGGGGGAATGGCAGCGGGGAGGAGCTGAGAGACAGTCTTCTGGGCAGAGGGGTGGGCAGCCATGGGCGCAGCTCTCTGGGAAAGGCTGGGCCTCTTGAGGACGGGCCAGGGCGGCCAGGCGCTGCTGAACACACTCAGCTGTCAGCCGTGCTTCGGGGTCTGCATCCCAACAGTCCTCTAGCAGCTCTCTCAGGCTGCCAGGGTCCTGGGAAGAATGACCAGGAAGCAGGCTTAATCCTGGAAGTGGCCCCCTGAGTAGCCCCAGAGTTGAGAGGTGTCCACCACTACCCTGTTTTCAACACTCCTCTTCTGATCCTCTCTGGAGCCCCCCTCCCTTCCCACTCCCCCAAATCCAGCTCTCTGCATCTTGCTCCCTATGAGACAGGTTCTTTGGGTGTCTTCCAGAGGGTCAACCTTTTCCTCTGAGGAGCTGATTCAGATTAATGACTTAACACACTGATGGGAAATTACTCTCCTTCCTTTCAGGCAACCAGGGTCTTAGCTAAACAATACTTAACCCAATAGACACTTGTTGCAGTGGAAATTTCAGGCCAGGTAGCAGGGAAAGGGGCTTCCTGTTAGGAAAATAATTATACAGATCCTGAAATTTCACTGTTTGGCCACTTTTTTTAACCCTTAAAACCTAGGACTGGCTTTTATTGGGTCATGGCAGAAACACAGATGTGTGAGACAGGGTGAGGAATTACTGGATTAAATGGTGGGTTCCAGTGTGCCAGGAGAGGAACCATCATGGGAACAGAGCTCAGGGCAGAAGCAAGGCCAAGGAAGGCTTCCTGGAGGAGGAGACTGAGAAATAGGGCTAACCGACAGTGGAGAGAAGAGAGACAGACCAGGCAAGTCTGAGCAGGAGGAAGGTGTCTGTCTCTGTCTCAGGAATGGGGTGTGAGACTTGTGGTGGAAGAGGATGAGTTGAGGTACAGAGCAAGTTTGTCCAGCTCCAGCCGAACATGAGACGGGGAGTGGTGGCAGATGAGAGGAGATAGGAGCATTTGGGCTGGTCCCAGTAGACAAGTCCTCGAAGCCCATGTCCATACTCTCCAGGCCCCCAGCCCACTGGCAGGTGGCCTCTTACTGTGGTGAAGGAGTGCCAGGTGGATGGGATACAGGGGCGCCTTCTCTCCTCTACGGCCAAGGTCCACAGCTCACAGGTGGTGGGGGTGCTACCCAGTTCTGCCTCATAGGCCAGTTGGAAAGGTGGTGGTCTGCTGTCTGGGGAAAGGTGCACAGGGCTAGGTCAACTAGTCCTGGGGAGCCTCCTTGTGAAAAGTCCAAGAGGGAGAAGGGCAGAGCTTCCCGCAGCAGGAGGTAGGTGGACATAGAAGGAGTGAGTGAGGTATGGGGCATGGGGAGAGAGGGGCTGCTGTCACACCCATCCTTACCAGGCCTCAAATCTGGGCAGCGGCTCAGGATCTCCCATAGGAGCAGAGCCAGAGAGTAAACATCGGCTTGTCGGAGGGCCGTGCCCCAGTCCTGTAGGTCCAGAGTCTTGTCCAAGAGCTCCGGCGCCATGTACCTCTGGGTGCCAGCCTGGAGAGAAAGGTGTGGAGGCCAAGAATCACCTTCCTGGCAAGTGTCACTGCAACACTGGTCCATGCGACGTCCCCCCAACTAGGCTCAGCAATGTCCCAAACTCCGTAGGTACTGCCGCACTGTTGCCACAGCAAAGGACACATCTTCATCAGCAGCACCACCATCATCCCGGGTCTCACCCTCATCCAGGGTACTCACCTCCATGATGGCAGCTGGGCCTCGGGGTTGAGTAGGGGCCCAGGTGGGAGGCTGGGTGAGGCCAGGGAGCACCAAGGCAAGGCCAAGGTCTCCAATGGCACACGACCCATCCTCCCGAACGAGCACATTCTGACTGCTCAGATCGCGGTGGGCAATACCTGGTTTGTATTGGCCTGTGGGAGAAGCCAAGGTTGAAGGGGCGTGGGTCTTCTTCCTTTCTCTTTTGACCCAATTCTTTCCCTTCAAGCTAAGGGAGAACCAGACACAGCAGCGTAGCTCTTGATGCCCATAGCTTCCTACTTCCAGCTCACCCACCATCCTGCCAGCGCTCCTCATGGAGAAATGCCAGGCCCTGCGCCAAGGACAGTGCCATCCGCATGGAACTTCCCCAGTCACTGGTGTGCTGGGTCAAGTACTGGCACAGGGAGCCCTGGGGAGCAGCAGAGAGAAGAAGAGGACACAACCTGGAGGTGGCTGATCCACCCCAAGGTGCAGAGATCAATCTAGAGACCTCGCCCTGCATCTCCCAACAGACCGACACACTGATCCATCCAGGCTGAGACAAGAGGCAGGGGAGGAGTGAGAACATGCATCTGTCAGACTGATGGGAAAAACAGTAGCCCTAACTCAAGTGTCTGAGCGCTTACTATGTGCCAGGCCTCCTGTAATCCTCACAACAACCCTAGGAGATAATGTACTCCTGTCATGCCTCATTTATAGACCAGGTGCTTGGAAGAAAGCTAAATAAACTTGCAAGTCACTTGGTGAGAAACAAGTAGAGCTTCAACCCAAGTGGTCTGACTCTAGGATCACTCACTAGTAACTACCTCATCCTGACTTGGGACTTGAGGCAATAACAGAAGCAAGAGAGGCAAAGCGAGCTAAGTGGTGGTGCCCCTTGTGAGCGACCTGGCCTGAGGCGTCAGGCCTGTAGGGAAGAGCCGGCCCATGGGAGAGCCCCCAGGTAGGAGAGTGAAAGATGGGGAGCAAGTGGAAATTGGGAGGGGAAGGAGCATTAGATTAGTGTCTCTCACTCAACAAACATTACTGGGTACCTTCAGTGTGCCGGGGAAGTTGAACAAACCAACCAACCCAAGAAAGCAGAGATTTTTGAGCTGGGCATTGAGACACATAGTCAAAGAGGGGACTTCTCAGAATTCAAGATTTCAGAGGGAGAGGATGGCGGGGCTAATAAAGTCCCCAAGTCCTTAGCAGGCCCACAAGCCCAGGTGTGGTCTGGTCCCTGCCCACCTTGTCCTCTTCATCCTTCCTGTTCATGACCCTCCCCTTGAGTCACATCTTATTCTTATCTCACAGTACCTCCTCTCTTAGCACTTTATGCCCTTGACATCTGATGCTTATCTTTGTGTTTACCTGATTCACTCTGTCTCCCGCACTACTCTATACAATCGACAGAGGCAAGGGCTAGGCTGTTTGTCTTAGCACAGGAGGTGTGGTACGTGGTTCATAAACTTCTTGAATGAATGTGTCAGTGAGTTTGGAGGGCCAAGCCTGGACGTATTTCTTTTAACATTGATTTTCCTTAAGGTTGGGAATATGAGTAGTTTGTTTTTGTTTTTAAGATTCTATTTATTTATTCATGAGAAACTCAAAGAGAGAGAGATAGAGACACAGGCAGAGGGAGAAGCAGGTTCCCTGCAGGGAGCCTGATGTGGGACTCTATCCCAGGACCCCGGGATCACGCCTCTGAGCCAGAGCCAGATGCTCAGCCACTGAGCCCCCAAGACGTCCCAGGAACATGAGTAGTTTTGATTTCTCCTTCTCTATCTCTATTTCATAAATTAAAAATATTAGCAAGTATTGCTTGTCTAATAAACCAAGAAGACAAAATCATTTTGAACATTCTAGAGAAGAGGAAATCTGAAGCGGATGAATAAGCACGAGTGGGGCCCCACGGCCATCCAGCACCCACATACACACACAGGCAAATGCATACAGACGTCCCTTGGTCCTCACCTTCGGGTGCAGTTCCAGTACCAGCAGGGGCCCACAGGGCGGGGAGCCAGGGCCCCCTCTGCTGGCGGTGATAAAGCGGACAATGTGGTCGTGCCGCAGGCCTGGCAGTTCGTACACGGCTCTCTCCGCTTGGAACTGGGCCACAGCCCTCAGGGAGAAGGCCTTGATGGCCACCAGTCTGCCTCGCAGCTGCCCAGCCCACACGGCCGTGTGGCCTCCTTCCCAGATTACCTGGCGGAAACACAGTGCTGGGTGCCAGCCTCAGGTAGCCGTGGGGCCAGGCTTCCTCCCCAGCACACCCTGGGAGGGATTGGAGGACCCGGCCCCCTCCCTGGGCACCTGGGAGAAACACAGCTCAGGCAGCTCAGGAAGCTCAGCACTCCAGTCCCCGCCTGAGTCTGGCTCCGGCTCCTGCTCCGGCTCTGGCTCGGGCTCCGGCCTACCTTGAACGCTGCAGGCCTTCCGCTGTCGCAGGGCTGGGGCAGAAGGGAGCTCTTGGGTCAGGGTGCACAGGCGGGGAGACTGGGAAAGGGGCTTTGTGGAGGCAATGGGCTCAGGCTGTAGAGATCTCAGAACCACGGGGTCAGGGGAAGCTGGAGAGGAGTCAGAGCTTTGGGGCAGTGACTTGGGGTCACGAGGGAGGCATGAAGTAGATTAGTACCCAAGACGATGCTGCCGAGCAGCAGCAGAAGCAGGATGAGCAGCCCCAGCAGCACCAGCGCCATCCAGATGGACTCGCCTGGACGTTAAGCCAAGAATGCAGCTTGGATGAGCCTTGCCCCAAATCCACTCTGTTCCTCTCCCCTTCCTCAGAGAACTTGCTTCTGGACCCACCCCCACCTTGGTCACAAGCCCCTTATCTCCCAGTCACTAGGGCAACCAACTTCTCAAGGCCAGGAGGAGGAAAACTTGGGATGGGGGTAGGGTGAGAACCAGCCTTGGTTCTACCTCTCATCCTAACCTGGGCCCCAGCCCCCAGCCCTAGCCCCCTGCATGGCTACCTGGGATAGCTTGGGGACCCTGGGAGCCAGGGGTCCCAGGGTTCCCTGGAGGAGGCAGACGGCTGTAATTGGCATTGCAGAAGTCAGTGCCACAGGAGCAGGTGAAGAGAGTGGACCCGGGGCTGGGGTGGGCTCGGGGGTTCAGGTCACAGTGGGGGGACTCACAGTCTGGCTCATCACTGTCTCGGCATCCTGATACGGTGGGATTAGAAGAGAGAAAGGGAGAGAAAGGGCGAGCGAGCATAACTGGGTCTAGGAACAGAGAGGATAACCCCCTTCTCTATCAGAGGCATCCCCTCCATCTCACATGGCTTTTCTTTCCCTCCACACATTCCATTTCTCCTCCTCTCCCGCTGCTGTCACCCCCACCCCAGGATGTACCTGTCTCCCACCCTAGCTATCACCTGCTGTATACTTTGCCATTCACCTTGCATCTCCACCTGTGCCTGGTCTTGGGTCAGGTTCCAGATCCCAAAACAGCAGCGGCTGTAGAGGCAGCGGATAACCCTGGGGGGCCCTGGTCCTGCATCTAGCAGCTTCCCCAGTGTCTTTGTGCTTCCCCGTACTCCAGGGGCCTCAAAGAACACACAGGTCCGCCTGCTTGGGGGTGCTGTGGCCCAGGGTGGGGAGAGGGGAGGGTTCAAGATGGGAATGAATGCAGGGGCAAAAGCAGCAGCCCAAGGGAGAGACAAAACAGGTTTCATATCCCAGGGCCAGCATGGCAAAGCTGTGAGCAAACAGGATCAGCAGAGGTGTGGAACCTGACCTCACCCTGGGGACACATGCTCTACCTTTTGCCCTCATTCACCCACCCCACTCATTCTTCCAAAGGGGTGGCTGCTGCTTCAAGTCCCCCTTTCCCTCAGTGGGTGAGCTGGAAAGGCCCTGCCCCTCCCTGTAGACACTTACCTTGCACAGCTGTGGGAAGTAGTACCCAAAGGCCCAGAGTCCCCAGCATCATGCTGGAGGAGGCAAGCAGCATGAAGAGGGGAGCATGAACCAGCACTGCTGCCCTGGGCCAGAGCTTCCCTCAGATATAGGCGCTGTGGGTCTTCTGATCCCTCCGTCCCCAACTCCGCCCCCCTCCCTCTTCCCAAGTCTCTGTGGGGGAGACGGCTGTTGTGGGGGAGAGGATGGGTGTGGGGAAAATCAAGGAGAGGGAGGAGCAGAGAACCAATCTCATATCCTCTTCTCTGCAGCCAGCTGCCTCCTCTTTTCTCTGCAAAGTGGGAGGAAGGGGTCTTGGAGGCCCAGCTGAGAACCCCATGACATGGAACCTCAGGCCTCTGCACTTTGCTGACCCTGGAGGAAAGTGCTGGATGCTGTAAGCCCAGAAACCAGAATGAGGTCAACTAAGCCAAGATCCCTTCTTTTCAGGGCTCAGATCTGCAGCTCTCTGGGCAGACAGGCTTCACAGACAATACTAAAGTTGACTTCAGTTTCCAAACTCCAGAATCAGAAAAGAGTTATAAAAAAGTCACATTGAAAATGGGCTAATGGGAAATTTTATGTTACCAGAATTTAAAAAATCATATTGAGCCATACACTGAAAAACAAAAAAATCACTATTACTGAGAAGGTTAAAAACAAACAAACAAACAAACAAAAAACTTTTATTGAGCCCCTATGTGCTAGGGCAGAGCTAGGGTTATGCATTTTACAATCGTCTCATCTCATGCTCCCGTTGAGTTATTATTGTTTTCACTGCACAGGTAAGAAAGCTGAGTTTAGGTAACTTGCCCAAGGTCACTCTGCTAGGAAACAGCGGATTTGAACCTAGTTAAGTCTGATTCCAAAGCCCAGGCTCTGTTCTTTATCTTATTCCATGGTGCCTGAAAACAAATTTAAAAATTCAGCATTAAAAAGTATTTCCGTTTGATACAGTATTTGAATATTTGGATCTAGATTGTTGAGAAAATATGCACCATTACCTGTGAGCAGGCCACTAACTGGAGAGGGAGGGTACAGTTCAAACTACCACCACCAGAGGTCAGCAGACATAGGAGAAACTCAGGGCGCTTGGAGGGGCAAAAGGGCCTCCTCTAAAGACTAGTATCTGTCTTCCACCTCCTGTATTTCTTAAGCTTCAGGGACTGTATAGGGTGAAGGAAGAGCCCAGGGTGTGCTGCACGGAAGAAGCCTATAGCTTGTGCTGCAGCAGGAGACAGGAGTCCAACTGCACCACACTCTTCCCCAGAGTAAGGCATTACATTAACAGGTAATCATTTCCGAACCTGCGAGCTGTTGGCTCCCATGAGACTCAGAGTCAGAGGGGACTGACTGGTTCCCTGTTTTCCTAGCGTTCTGTCCCCCGATGGTTGCCTAGAAAACTTTCCTGGGAACGGTCTGGCTTAGACCAGGACTGAGGGTGTAAGTATGAACTCTCTAATTCTGGAGCCTTTTCTCCTGGGGGGCCTGCAGGAGGGAAGGAGAGAGTAAAAGCTCCAGGGTTGTGAAGGAGCAGCCAGAGAAATGACTAGAGCCAGAGGCTGATGGGCAGTTGCCCATCCTTCCCTGGGATCTTCGGAGAGTCTGCAGGCCTCTGCCAGTGAGATAGATGGAATGTTGCACTTAGTTACAGCTATTTTCCTTCACCAGCTTCCAGATCAGATAAGTCTGGCGGCAGGGTGGGGGTGGGGGGGGGTTTGGAGGGCAAGTGGGGAGTTGAAGGTCAAATAGCTTCTTCTGTCTGGAGTGTCTCAGGAGACTACCTCCTCCAGAGGGAAGCGAGGTGAAGATGAGGCAGGGAGGCAGTCTCCTTACCCAAAGCCTTGGATGACCACTCCTTTCAAAGACAGAAACATCTTAGCCAGGTTTATGAGGTGAGGTGGTGATACAAGGGGTAACAGCCTGAATGTTGGGGGATTAAGAAGGTCCTGAGAAAGGACCCCAGCATAGAAATAGTCTGATTCCACATACACAAAGATCCTTCTTCACCAGGATCCTGATTCAAGTCTGCAGTGGCCCACTAAGTTACCTTTGAGTCTCTGTCTACAGGGCTAAAGTGAGTTGTTTATTCATTCAACTCAGAAAATATTAAGTCTCAACCTTTTTTCCCTTCCTTTCTTTTTATTGAAGTAATCTTCACACCCAACATGGGGCTTGAACTCACGACCCTGAGATCAAGGGTCGCATGCTCTTCCGACTGAAACAGCCAGGCACCCTAAGGTCTCAGTCTTAAAAAAAGGAATTTCTGGATACGTGGGTGGCTCATTGGTTGACTGTCTGCATTTGGTTCAGGTCCTGATCCTGGGGTTCCTGGATCGAGTCCCTCATCGGGCTACTCACGGGGAGCCTGCCTCTCCCTCTGCTTATGTTTCTGCCTCTCTCATGAATAAAATCTTAAAAAAAAAAAAAAAAGGAATTTCACTAGGTGCTGGGCCTACAAATAGATGTGTGCTTCCTGCCCTCCAGAATCTCATAAGTCTAGAAAGGCAGGAAAATATGTCAACAAGCAACTAGAAAATTACAGGTCAGACTAGGGGTATGAGCAAGGAGCTATATAAGCAGAAAGATCAAATAAGTTAATTCTGTCCAGGGCATAGAAAAGTACCTAGAGGGTTTCAAAGAGAAAAGGACAAATTGTCTCAAAGGAAAACACTGAAAATATGTAAAAGGAGGGTAATGATTACAGGCAAAGGGAGCATCAAGAATAAAGGCACAGAGGTATGAACACAAAGTGTGTGTTGGGAGCAGGGGAGTGAGCAGGAGAAAGAGGTATGAGATATGAAGCAGAAAATCACCCTAGAGATAGACTAGACCAGACTGGAAAGGTTTTCAAGTCTGTATCAAGAAGACTAGACTTTTCCTGAAAGCAAAAGATTTTAGGGAGGAGTTTGGAAGATGGATGACTGAGGTTTGGGGAAACTAGAAGCAAGGAGATCCATTATGAGACCGAGCAGTAGCCACGGTGAGTACCAGGACAGTGGAAATAAAAAGGGAAAAAGTTGAGTGATGTTGTATTGGTAATACTGACAGGATTGGTAATCAAGTAAACGTTGGTACTTGAAAATGAGAATTAAAAGATGATTGAGGTTTTGAGTATAAATGATCAAGGGGTAGTGATACTGTCAAGTTAGATGGGGAATACAAAGGATTATTTCCCCTTCTTACATGTTGATTTTGAGTTATCTGTGGGACATCCAGATGAAAATGTCCCATAAGCAATCTGCCAGGTTGAGAGGAAAGGTAGGACTTAAGATTTGGGATAGCTAAAGAATGGATGCAACTTGCTTAAGGGGGTGAAGTAGAAAAAAAAAGGGGGGAGGGTGAAGTAGAAAGTAGAGCAAGGGAAAGGACTTAAGACAGGGCCACCAACATTTAAGGGACAAAGGAAAAAGTGGCTATGAAGGAGACAAAAAAAAAAAAAATCAGGAGTATCAGTCTCACACTCCAAGGGAACAAAGTTGTTATTACTGTTTGAAGATTTTATTTATTTGAGAGAGAGAAAGAACACAAGCAAAGGGGAGGGGCAGAGGGAGAAGGAGAAGCAGACACCCCACTGAGCAGGACTGATCCCAGGACCTGGGATCACGACCTGAGTGAGTTGAACAGACGCGGAACCAACTGGGAACGGGAACAGGAACGGAGCTCTAAGATGCACACAGTTGCAGGTCTAAAAGGCAAATGACTCAAAGACCATCGGACCTGGCAACCAGACTGCTGATGTCCAGGAGAAACGGTTTCATAAATGATAGGTGCTGAACAAAGTGGCCTGAGGCTAAAAAGCCTCTTCTTCACTAAAAGAAGAGAAAAATTAAGTGTAAACTACTTTTACCAACTTTAGAAATGAAAAGAACTAGATCTGAAGCTTGAAGTGGAAGCAAAGGGATGGGGAAAGAGATTTTTAACATGCTTATAGGATGACAGAAGGGAACCCAAGAGAAACTGAAGATGAAAGGGGGAAAACACCACCAGAACAAGATAAATGAGGTTAAGAGCACAGGTGGTAGGGCTGGCCTCGCAAAGGCAAACTTTCTCTCCCAAGCAAAGATAAAGAGCTACACTAGTATCGGTGAGTATATGGCTATTTGTAAGGAGAGGAGAGGGAAGTTTGAAGAAATTCATGCTTACATTCTCTCCTGAAATAAGAAGTAAAGCATCTGCTTAAAAAATGGGGTCAGGATTGGGAAACCTGCAATTAATGGTATCTCTCTCACTCCCCAGACTATGAAGTACTTGGTGGCAGGACCTGTCTTATTTTTTATCCTCAACCTAGCTCAGTACCCAGGAAATAACGGCCCAAAGAGGTTTACTGAATGAACAAGTGGTACAACCATTAAAGGCCCTTTTATGGCTAGAAAACAAAACAATTCCCCCAAAAAACCCAACCCCCAAACCAAAACATACCCCCCCCAATAAAAAATGTTAAAATGTTATGTTGCTAGTGGCTACATAAGGAAATCCAACGGTGAGTTTACCCATGGCTGAGTGATTGAAAAGCAGATAAAGGAGTCGAATGTTTAGCAAAATAACAGAATGCTGGTAGCCACAGTATAAACAAGTGACTAAGGATTCTTGGATAGGTGGGAAGGCAAACGAAGTCATAGGCTGATGGGAAACTGGAGACTGTCAGAATAGTTTCAATTTCAGTTTCAGATGGGGCCATAATCTTGACTTGATCATGTTAGACACAGGCTGGTATTAAATGAATGCAAAATATGTTGGGGCTAGACCTTAGTTTCTAAATACCATTCTCCAATAAAAAGAACTAAGGCTCCTTGGAGAAATGGCTGATTCTAGGGCTGGGACCGGGAAAATACAAGATAAGCCTGAAGCATCTTGTATGTCGCAAAGTTCTTTAAAAAGTGCTCAAAAAAGTAAAAGGATGTAGATGTATCAAAGAGACACAGGAGTCTAGCTGAAGAGCTCCCAATACAGCTGAGACAATCTGAGCGATGAAAATAATGTAGTACTAGATTATAACCTAAGGATAAAATAAATATACATGAGGTACGTACTAATATAAAATAAAGGAGGGAGAAGAGAGTTTCCTCACAGAATTCCCAATATTCTTTTTTGTTTTTGTTTTTTTAATTCCCAATATTCTCTGTAGGTACTATTTTCACTAGAAAGGGAAACTTGATTCCTACCAACTCCATTAGGGGTGGG